GGAGAAATGAGATCGAGGTGAGGACCAACCAGCTCGAGGGCCAAGGGACTGAGACACATCGATCTGGGCAAAGCTGAGAAGCAGGGTGGAACGCTTTCGGATGGGATCGCCTTGGGTCGTGGGTTGGGCAGGGATCAAATGAGATCCGGACCAGGTCGGATGCGGGTGATTACCAGGTAACAACAGGAATGATGTTTGAGATGACGGAGGGTGGGAAAAACAGGCAGAGCAGATGGAAGATGGTGGGGAGAGAGAGAGGGAGGGCAGGAAAATTAAGGAGAGGAAGAGGAGGAGGGGAGGATGAAGAGAGAGAAGGCGGTGAGGGAGGCAAGTGGGTGGGATGGTGATGTTGAATGAGGCTGCGCGCTTCGCATCTGCTATTGTTGATGGCGGTGGTGGTGGTGGTGCGGTGGTGGTCGCATGTGGGAGCGCCTATGATGGAAGCAATAGGACGGAATAGGACGGGGAAGAGTCCGCATCGTAGATTCGAGACTCAGCTGGGCGGAAGCTGCCCCATGGAAGTGGAGATGGCGGCAGCGCGAGAGGGGCACAACAACGATCTGTCAACTGCGCATGCGTATTGTGGGAAATTTGCAGCCAGAGCTTCGTAACCGTGAACGAATGCTGCATGGTGAGTGGCGAGGTGGGCCTTGTGTTACCATACCTAGGTACATCCATCACCAATTGCTGTCGCGCGTAATGCGTTGGCGAGGTGCCAAGGCGGGTAAGCAAGTTAATAGCATTGCGGTTGAGATCGAGACTTGGTACGGTACCTAATAAGCATGAATCAACGAATGGTACAGCAGGGACCGTGGGCTGTTATCTCTCGGGGAGCCACCAACCTTGCATCCCGCTCCGCCCCGTTGACGGAGGCAACCAAAGGGCTAGCTACCTTATGCAGCACATTGCATGGCACCAAGGATTCGAAGGCTTCCTGTTCTTGGCCTTCCGCCCCTCCCTTGCATTGTCGGATGAGGGAAGGAGACTCAGCGCTCACATCCGTTGGGCAACGAGGTGATAGATCACATGTACGGTAGGATAGTCTTGGAGCTAATGGGCCATAGTTTCAAAATATAAAGCTACGATATGCAAGATGGTAGGCTCGCGTCGTACTGCCGTAAATGGGACTAGCTGTGGACTTTGGGGGCCGGTTGGGCAACCTCCTTCCTGGGCTACGACCCGGCAGTGAGACCTCAGCAACTCCGAGGTCATACAGGACAGCCCGGGTCAGTCGATTGAACCTTCCAGGATGGCGCCGTTTAGAATGCTGATGGGTAGTACCTGCCGGTTGGCCAACATCTCTGCCGGAGAATATGAGCAGGAGGTGGGGAAACTACTGGGTGTAGGTAAGCAGACGGGAGTCTAAGAGCACGACGAGGCAGGAGCAGAGGAGGGAGGAGTGGGGAAGTCCAATTAGAATCGATCGGCAACGGGCGCTAGGTACTGGTACCGGACTATTCCAGCACGTGTACCTTCTACTAGAGGGTACACGTGTGTGTTGGTTTGATTTGGCTGTCTAGCGCAGGCACGTTCCTGGCTATCGGGGTATGCTAAAAGTACCTGGACTTCTACCGTCCTTCCCCTGTTCCTGCCCTGGTCTCTCATCACCAACAACTTCAATTTTCGCCCTGTCTTGGTTCTAGTTCCTGCCCAGACCAAAGGCCCTGCGGTTAGCCCACCATTGTTGCACGGCAGCCGTTGTTGTGCAACCTGCATGTGTTCCAGCCCAAAAGCCACCTCATCCTCGAGCCTGTCTTAGGATGTCTTGGCCAGCTGAAAGCCAACCAAGCGCCCGTCTCTGCCAATCATGCCCCTCGCTACGTCGAGCTGATGCAGACTAGCCAGACACCTCTCACGCTCCAATGTTACTCTGCAGTGCTCGTCTGCATGTTGGCCAGTGTTGGCCCAATGGCCTCAAGCAAGAGTAAAGCATTAGGGGTGGGTCGCTCTTTGGTGTGTGTGTGTGAGCGCGCGCGCGTGTGAGTGAGCAGCAGTGCGCTTTGATCTTTCCCCTCCACTCGTCCCTCTTCCTTGCGTAGTCGTGTGATCGCCCAGCCTCTGTTTTGCAGGAAGACTGCCTTCGCCCCAGTCGGCGCTGGGTAGGTACGACATTACCAAAGCCAAGCGAAGAACTTGCTTTGTTTCGCCGAGATACCGTGCGGCTCAGCTTTCCCTCTTCCGCCTGAAGTTCTGGAGGTTCACCTACGCATAATGTGGGCCACCGCGCCGCGAACCAGATCCGGATAATGCGCTCTGGGATCATAGCCGTTTTACCCAGCAAACCCGGGGGTGGACCACTGCAGTTTTTGATACCTCACACTGATATCGCATCACATCGTATCGGTGAGCAAGCAGGCACAAATATTGCCACCCTGGCTCTTGATCGATCTTCTCCATGTGTATTCCTTCTCGATATGCAAAGTGGTCTTGCTTTGTTTCCTGTACCGGTACGAATATGTCCCCTCCTTTTAAACGAGGGGCCATGACTTGGATGGGTACATTTGATCACCGCCAGCTCCGCTTATGGGAACCCAAGAACCTGGAAATTCGCCCTTACCCTTGCTTTCTCCTGAAGGGGAAAGCTGCGTACACGGCGCCGGCCGCAAGTTGGTGAGATTGTCCATGGCGCCCAACGATGCGAGCCATGAGACACTGGTGCTCTTCCATTTGCCGATCCCGGCTTCGAAGCGCCTACAAAAGTATAATTACTTTTTCCTCTGACAACCGCTAGACTAGCCAGATCCTGCCGTCGGCTCCATCCCTAGGCCGTGCTAAACTAGGCGGCGCATATCCGTCCACCTCATTATACTTTGGGGCTTGTCATCATCTGCATACCCAACGCACTGTCCATGTGGTTGGACTAATAAGCTTGTAGGAACGGGTCACATTCATCGAATCCATTCCGTCATTCCTCTTGGGCGTGAGTGTGCGCTCAGTTATGGGCAACAACTCCGGCCCTTTCGTGATTGGCCCCAGATTGCAAAAGTGATCCGATCCATAAACAACCAACAGCACCCAGATACTAGATGATTCCAAGCTGCAAGTCTTGTGTCACCCAACTCCCTCCACAACCACTCGCACAATAACGCTCTGGCGCTCTCCTATTGATCTGTCTGTTTCTGCGGCCGCTTCCTGGCCGTCTAACTGCCTAGTCTTACCCCACCTCGTGGACGCTATACCTAGCCCAGTTTCCTCACACCAAACCAAACCTTCTCCGGCTTTCACTACATCAACCCGCCATACCTGCTGTGCCTCCACCCCTGAGGCTGGCTTTCTATTCTTCTCTTCTTCTTAGCTTTACCGCAGTCACTCTGGAGTCGAGTTTGTCGCACCTCATTGGCTCCTATTGTACGCCTTCTATCGCTTAACTCGTCATCTCTCCACTACCTACGCCAGAGGCCTCCTCTTGTAAGTGAGCCATCTAACGTTGCTCTCGGAACCTGGATTTATGATGATCTAGTCATTCTTCCGACGAAACATGTCTCAGCTGCCAACCATTTTTCTCGCCTAGACTTCATTCTACCTTCATTGGACATCTCGATGCGTTTGTTCTGTTGTTAAGTTGTTTCTGGCCAACGCAAGCAAGTTCCGAAGCCTTCGGCAATTCTCTAGGTCAAGTCGCTGTGGATCTCGTTCCTTCCTCACAAGTACATTGACATTTGTCTCAGAACTGCAGCCTGGGTGAAACCCTGGCACCATCACCCTGGAAGCCAGTCGAGCATGTCTCATTTCTTCCTTGCCAAATGCAGTCTGACAAGCACGTAGTACTGGCAAAAAGAAAGAACGCCTTCGCGAACTGGGGATAGTCTCTCTTCTTTTAACCCCGATTATCCTCCCCGCCCTCCTCGTCTCTCTATACTCCACAACATTCCAAGAGGTTTCCTTTAAACTTCCAACAAAGATCTGGAATATTTCCGCTTGTCATATTTTCAGCTCCGCGAAAGGCTCAATATACTTGGGCCATATACCCTCCCGCAAGAGGATATTATCTGTCGGCTGCCGCTGGTTCTTCTAGGGACCTCTCTTGCAGCTGATAACAACTCGCTTCTTCTTAGTTCAGAGCGTTTCTGACGTTCCAAGACCATTAATACCTTGTTTAAACAATCCTCGCGCTCTCTAAACTACTGCCGCATCAGTGTGATATCTAACGCATATCGCAATTTTTTCTCATCATGTCTCGCCCTCAGTATGACCGCGGCTACGAGCTTCGTCCGGGGCGATATGGGTATGGACATGTGGAATCCTCTTCGATGACGAGTGAGCCCAATCATAAGCTCACCCTCCCTCCTCCCCGGGACATGGTGGCTGGTGTTCCGACTAGAGGTCGCCAGCAACCAGATTATCAACAGCATTACAATTATCCGTCGCCTTCTGCCCCCCAGCCAGCTCAACCGTATCAAGATTCATCTTCTTATTCTACTCAGCCTCGGTTCCAGTCGCCAGAGAGTTCAACTCGTCATGATCGTTCGGCTCACTACGATCATTCGGCTCATCACGATCGTTCGGCTCACTACGATCATTCGGCTCATCACGATCGTTCGACTCACTACGACCATTCGGCTCATCATGATCGTTCAACTAATCACGATCGTTTGACTCACTACGACCACTCGGCTCACTACGATCATTCGGCTCATCATGATCGTTCGACTCACTACGATCACTCTGCTCATCAAGATCGTTCAACTACTCACGATCGTTTGACTCACTACGACCATTCGGCTCATCACGATCGTTTGGCTCACCACCATCATTCGGCCCACCACGATCGTTCACTTCGAGGCTCACGACCAGATTATCAGTACCCTACTACGTACTCCCAGCCAACTTTCGATAAACCCCAGGCTGTAGAAATCAGGCCAGCGGAAAAAATAATGGACCCTTCTGACAGTCACAATCCCTCATATCCGTCGTCTTTTCGTCCAGCGTCCGATCAGTCGACCCCCCGAAGACCAGAACCCTTTCACCAAGTGGTATCTAATCAACCGGATGCGTCAGCTATGAGTCAGAGGCAATCTACCTTTCAAGCGAGGCCACCATCGATTACTTTTGGGCCTGTGAACGACACACCCAACAGGCTTGCACCAATCCTGAACCTCATCGGTCCAGGGAGAGCCTCGGATGTAGCGGGAATTCGATTTCGAATTTCAGTGCGTCAGCAGCCGGAAGCGGCGCGTGCCTGTGGCTCAGGAGAACGTGATAGGAGAACTATAGACCCTCCCCCGATTGTCCAGCTCCATGTGGAAGGGCCCAATCTCTCTTCGGATGATATCAAGAAGTACCTCAGTTGGGACGGCTATGTGATGCATTGCTGGATCTACGACCAGTATGGGGCAGCAGAGGCATCGAGAATGCCACTTGAGTACCACTATCAACGTCGTCTCACGGGGTCCCAGGTTGCTGCTCCATTTTTTGGAAAGGACGAGAAAAGAAAGGACGGTTGCTTCTTCACGTTTTCAGATCTTTCGGTTCGGACCTTGGGGACATACAAGCTCAAGTTCAACATGATCATGTTGGACGTTACTAATCCTGGGCAGAGTAGACACTTTCCCAACCTAGCTGAGGTGATCAGCAGCCCATTCACGGTGTATACGGCGAAGGACTTCCCTGGTATCAGTGAAAGCAGTGAATTGGTCAGGGCGCTGAGAGCGCAGGGCTGTATCATTTCTATTAAGAAAGGAAACGAGAAGAAGCGAAAAATTGGAAAGGTTGGAAACCAATGCGATGAGGACGACGATTCGAGCGATGATTAGGTATTATCACTGGCGATTCTCATTCATATTATACCATAGGATGGGCAATCATGCCCTAGCCAGACGACTTGGCGAATATCTGTAAAGTTCCAGGCTTTTACTATTCTCTGGGATTTCTATATATGTAACAATTCTCAATCTTGTTAATCGAGTAATCAAATAAACAGATACCGTATTAAAGCTGGCACCGGCCCCCTTTTCTGTCCTTTTCTCACGAATCACCCATAATCCTAGGTTTGGCTCGGGGTATTCGACACGAAATTGTCGTGACTGATGCTGGTTTTGGCCCATAGGGTTCGACGGACGGCACCACTAGCGATTCACGATGTGACCAGGTGTCTGGTTGCAAGGTTTGGAATGTACAGTTTCGCTTGGGTTGCTTTCACCTGGGTTTAAAATAAGGGCTCGCGAATGGAATCGAGTCTACGGCTCTACGCGCCTACCTGCTGAATATGAACGGTCCCGCCTTGGACAAAGGATGTTCGCATTCTATCTCTAGCCAGTGATAGATTCAATGGCCGGCAAGGCGCAATCGCCACTGGGGTGTGGATGGCTGCGCTGCACCCAATGTAACACGTATGATGGCACTGGGACACGAGGCCGCCGTATGCTTTTTCTTTCCTCCTCCCTCCCTCCCTCCTTTCTTTTTTTTTTTTTTTTTTTTTTTTTTTTTTCTTCCAGGCGGAGAAAGGCTTGCGCCGCTGGCATGCTCGGTCATCAGTCTAGAAAATGAAAAGCTGTAGCTTCAGCTGTCAAGTACTGAATCCCTATTTGCCTGAGACGAACGTTTTTTCGTCTGCTTATTGTTACACCTACCTAGAGGGAGAGAGGAGAATTCGTCTGAGCCTTGGCGGCAGGTTGTGTGCATTAGTTTGCTGCTGTTGGGCACCGTCGGAGGCGGCCATGACCCTCCAGGCTTTTCTACTTCCGTATTGTCAGCCGAACAACAATAGCAGACGCGGCCAGGCAGCAAAATGCCGCAAGAAATTGACCGCCTGGGTGAATAACACGAAGTGACGAGGAAACGAGGGGGTGCCTGTCACTGGGGAGCTTGGGCAACCAACATGCTTCTGACCGGTACGGGCGGCATGAATGACAGCCCTGAGTCACGGCGAATTACGATCGGTAGGTGGCGGTCGGGTGTACAGCTGAAGAAAAGCGCCAAGTCGTAAGAAAAAAAAGCATTGAGCAAACGGCCGGTGTGCCTCCCCGTTCGGGTTGGCTAGGTGCCATGCGATGCAGCCGTAGGAGTTTGGTGGCAGGTTCCAGCTCTCGCGGCATGCATCAGTTGGTTGCTGCCCAGAGCACCGCGAGGAATGATAGGGCCGAGACCAGCCGTTGGTGTCTGGCTGAACTCTGTGCGGTGTATCGGTGATTGAAACAGGTTTGTGCCGTGCCTACTCGTTACAAACGGCCATGGGGGGAACTGATGGCAGCTGAGGGGGCCTGGACTGCTGGTGTCAGGCGTATAGCTCAACCTTGGGTCAAAAGCCTTGTTGGTGGGCTGGCAAGCTGGCCAACGGCACAAGGAGACAATTCGATTGGACTGGTGCTACCCACCTGGCAGGGTCTAATTGATTATACCGCTCGAGGCATTGACAGTCATGTGGCCGTTCTGTCCAACAAACCATCAGCTGCCACGAGAATTGCCTTGCCAAAACAGGGACAGCGTAACCGTGGGCGCACATGTGGCGGGAGCTAGACTCTACCACTTAGCCCTCGTTGACGTGCCTGAAAGATGAGAGTTTATCTGGGGTTTCAGAAGTACCCGCGCGCATGTAGGCAATTTCCTAGTGAACCCTATTTGGGCCAATCCCGCTTTGCTGACCATCGGTGACCATCCAAGTAATAATAGTGAGTTGCGACCGTTGGACCCTGGTTGCTTGTTACGGTACCCATCTCAAAATTAGGCATGTAGAGAATTCGATCGTAATTGCCCGGCGTAAAGCGAGCAAGGGACAGTTACAAAGAGAGTATAAGAGACATGGGGCCTTGCGAACGGAGGAGGGGGTAGGAGGGGCTGGAGCTCCAGGTTGCGAAAACCTCGCGAACGAAATAGGCAATGTAGCCTTTCCAGCTGCATGCCGCGTTGTAGTATGGAGGTGTTGGCGATCTTTCGTAAGGGCCCTCTCACTTTGCGCCCAAAGCAATTGCTGAGCAGAGATCTGGTGCCTGGCCGGTCTTGCGGTGAGGTCGGCTGTGGGGCGGCTGAACAGAGTTGGTAGCCAAATCACCAAGGACCAACAACACACCCAACTGGCAATTGTGATTGTGATTGTGACCAGAGGTAGCGGTTACCCGGTATTCCCGAAGCGCCAAACATCGGTGGCCAAGTCCCTCTCGGTGTTCACCATGGAATGCGCTCGACGAACAGCGGCACGATGTGGTTGGTGACGTGGGGAAGTGCCGACAATGGGGGCCAATCAGCGGCAAGGGACATTAGGTTTGCTCCCCTGGCGCTAAGACTGAATTAAGCGTGTTTCAGCGGCTGCAGGAACAGGCACAGCAGAGGTATTAATATTTCCCTCTTTGTTGCGTGGTCTGTGGGTTGGGAATTTTTGGCTGTTGGTCCCATGCCATGGCCGAGCGCATCGGGCCCGAGTCCAATTGACAAGTTGTCCAGCTGGCGCGGTGGCCAGCTGTCACCGTCGCTGCCCTGAACTAATGGTTATTCGTATGACCTTGTGGAACTGAGCAACCGGACTCGCCAGAATCTGCCAGAATTAAGATATTACGCCGGGATTAGGTACAACCAGTCATCGGTGCAGATGCTGGTTAGTGCTCACCTAAGTACCTGCCTTGGGTAAGGTACCTACCTTAAATAAGTAAGCACCAGACCAATTTTAGCATTGACAAAGTGCATGTCGAATGGGGTAATTCTTCCTGCGAATCTCTAAGCGGGTTATGCCGTGGAAGAATCAATTATGGCTGATTGTGTGCCCTCCCATTCAGCCTCATTCACTCAGGTACACTGCACATGTCGGGTATGTTCATCGGGTGCATCACCGAGATGAGGAGTACTCATTGACCCTCTTGCCGTCGGAATTCCGCGGGTGGTGATCATGAGGGTGTTCTGCGTGGAACCATGCACTGTCCCTCTGGCTCACCTTCTCAAGCCAGCATGGTGATGGAAATCTTCATTTCCCCGGCACATGCATAGGAGGCCTGCCTGATGGAGGTTAGGTGACAAATTAAGGTAGGCACCTCGCCGGGGTGTCGACGAGGGCTTTATTTTAGCACTCCATGGCTTAGTACCTACCACTGCCACTGTGACTGAGGTGTGGGCAGGTACTACCCGCTCCACTTTGCCGCTGCCTGCCTGCCCTACATCGCACATGCACATGCCTCAACTCGCTGCAGAAGGAGCAAGTCTGGAATCCAGAACCCAGATGGCAGGATCCTCTTGTGTCATATTACTCGTCTTACTACTATTTCTCACCTACAATGCAATCCATCGCCATTGGGGACCCGTCCTCTCATACCACAAAGACGACAATCCAACTTCACAAAGAGGGATAAAGAGAAAGACGCCTAGCTTACACTCGCACGCAGGAGCGACAGGGGAAACAAAGGGCGCCAAGGTCGATCAACAAGGCGCCACCCGAGCGAGTAATTTTACTTTCCAATGCTAAATCCCGCCATCTGTTGAACGGCTTATGTGCCCGACATCATAGCCGATCACATTTCCCCTGTGAGCATCCAAGGTATGCAAGGGACTCGATACCCTCCATCACTGATTGCCAAGTCTTTGGGTCTTGAGAGTGCCTGAGTGCACTGGGCACAATACCTGGCGTGTGCCACGTCCCGTGGCTAGCCCATGGATGAGAGTACCGCCAATTCTACAACCAACACAGTACCAGCATGTGTCACCATGAAACCTGACCCCCCGGCCACAGCCAAGACCAATCCTTGTGCAGTTTAGGCCTTGCCACTACTGTGGGCTTTATCTTGTCTCCGCTTCCTTGTTGGCCAGCCTTTCTCTTTGGAAGATCTAAAACTGGCAGCCGCTAGACCGCTTGTGGGCGCCGGTGCCTGAGCATCGCGGCTGTTGATGAGGACCTGCGTCCTAATATATGTGCCCCCATCAGCCGCCCATTCCCAAGCTCTTCTTCTTCTGCTTCTCCACCTGTTGTTTGTTTGATCTTCTTGGCCTTCATTCTCCCCCTTTCTTCCATTTTTTTGCAATTTCCCAGGCTGCTGAGCACTGTCCTGAATATCCTCTCTTTAACCTCGAACAGTTCCCTCTGTTCCTGACTCTCTTTTCCTCCCACGGCCAGTCCGAAACTTTTTTCTTACAGACATCACTTAAACACTGGTAACCAAAACATCGGTAGTCCTGGTTACATACTAGAAACCCCCTTATCCACTATCGCAGTCCTGTCAGTCCCAATCGACCAAGATGAAGCACGGTTCGATGGTCGCTCTGTCGGCCTTGGCTGGTTCTGCCGCCGCTTTCCAGTACAACAGCGCCTTGACTTTCTCCGTCATGCAGTTCACCGGTACGGAGATCCGCAAGGCACGCGATGACCCCATTGTCAACCCCGGCAAGGCATCCTCCCACGTTCACCAAATCATGGGCGGGAGCGGTTTTAGTAGGTCATCCACCGGCGCAGACCTCTTGAAGTCTGAGTGTACCAACGCTAGGGTTGCTGGCGACATGTCCAACTACTGGTTCCCTGCTATGTACTTCAAGGATCCCATAACTGGAGAGTTGGAGAGTGTGCCAATCAGCTATGTTAATGTGTACTATCAGTAAGTGATTGATAAAACTCTTTGAGTCACTTTCGCTAGCTCATCTACACTTACTGACCCGCCCCATTGTAGCATGGACAAGACGACCGACACTATCAAGGCCTTCCCTGCTGGCCTTTCCATCCTCGTTGGTGATCCTACTCGCCGCACCGCCCCCGAGGGTGGCTATACCGCCAACCTGGACCCCAGTGTTGGCCCTGTCGGTAACGTTAGGTGGACTTGCCCTCGTTCCACATACGAGCCTCCATCGTGGCCAGCGGATTCGGATGGAACTACGGCTGGAATGGGTGTGGGAAACAATGGTATTGGTTTCCCCTTCCGCGACTGTGATGGCTATGCCTCGCCTCTGCGTGGTGACATCCACTTCCCCTCCTGTTACAAGCCCGATGTTGGCTTGACCGACTACAAGAACAACATGGCATACCCTACCTCAGATGGCAACGGTAACTTGAACTGCGCGAAGGGTGAAATCCACGTGCCTCGCATGCTTCTAGAGGTGTACTTCGAAACCTCCTCTGTTGTTCCGGGCAAGGGATTCCAGGATAGATGGGACCACTCCTCAGGAAAGGGCCCTCAGCCCTTCCTCCTGGCCAACGGAGATACCACTGGCTACGGCTGGCATGCTGACTTCATGGCTGGCTGGGATGAGGACGTGCTCCAGAATATCATCGACAACTGCGACGTCAGACATGAGGGTACCCACACCTGCCCCGGTGTCACCCCGAACACCGCCACTTGCACCATCAAGACTCTGGTTGATGAGGACGTCGACGGACCTTTCTCCAAGCTCCCCGGTAGCAACCCCATCACTGGGTACGGTGACAAGGTTGAGAACGGTGGTGGCAGCTCCCCCTCTGCTTCTTCTTCTGCTTCTTCAGCCCCGTCATCCTCTTCGTCCGTTTCCTCTGCTGCCCCTAGCTCTGCTGCCCCTAGCTCTGCTCCTTCCTCTGCGGCCCCTAGCTCTGCAGCTCCTTCTTCTGCAGCTTCTTCTTCGTCTCTTTCCCAGGATTTCCCGTATCACCCTACCAATGTTGTTCAGAACGATGCCAAGCCTGCAACCACATTCGAAGTGGTCAAGTCTTCCTCTGCCGTTCAGGATCAGCCCAAGATTGCCGCTGTTGATGTTGTCGTACAGACTGTCTGGCACACTGTGACTGTGACCGCCGACCACAGTGCCGAGAGCTCTGAAGCCGCTCACGTCCGCCGGCACGTACACGGCCACCGTGGCAACCGCCATTTGTAGATTGCGTGCTTTGACGAAATGGATCCTGAACGGCCTGGTGTATATATGGGATGGTGAGGGTGTCAAGTTGTTACAGGCGACGAATTGGGAGATTGGGCCCGGACAACTTTCCCCGAGGCCGAAACCAGTCGATCTGGAACAAAGCTCCTGTCAGCTCCTCGGGTGTTTCAATTCGATTGTATTTTATTCGTCCCAGCCGGCATATCCTAGACTTCTGGAAGAGGCTAGTTAGAACGGCGTGGTTTTCAGTATTCTCTTATGTCCCGATTCAAATCTGCTTGGCTAGACGCCGGACGGAGGGGCAGCTATTTATTGTCATTTTCTTTTCTTCATGATGAGATGTACCTTTGTTTTCGGCGTGGCGTGCTAAAAATGGGTAGAGTAGAGGAAATTTAAGAATCAATCATCTGAATTCATTCATCGGTTGCTTGCGTATGGACGATGTGCTCAACATGCATCTTGTGACGTAGGTCATTCCTACCCTTCTCTTGGGTCCCTAGACAGCCAAGCAATTCAAGTGCTACAGCTACTGTTGTTATACCAGATCTGGTCCCGGCTAGATGGGCCTTGTAATGAACTAGATGCGGTCGTTTTGAGACTTGAGTACGAGTGACAGGATGTTTTAAGCTTAATGCTCGTCCCATTTACGAGCCGAACACGTCAGCCCCTATTTTAGGCATGGCAATGCAAAGTAGTAATTATCTAAAACACTCAAGGTTTCCATATATCACCAGAGAGCTGATTAGTCTGGCTTGTCAAGTTCACGGGGCACACTTGGCAAACAAGTCGTACCTGCAGCAATTAGTTATCACAACTAAAGTATCACGAATGGTAGTGACGTAATCCGGGCACAGAGCAGAATGTGCTTACATGTTGCATCCGCAGGGGGGGTTAACGATGATGTCAGGTTCTTCCACACCTGATGTTGATCGTCAACATACACGGTCGTTTTCACAAACCTGGGAAAATGGAGCCTCAAAGCCTGGCCATCGGGGTCGTTGGTCTCGCCAGGCTTTTCAACGCCTGTCTAGGGACTGTCGCAAGAATCGATGCCTACAAAGAATTCGGGAATGACTCGTACGCTCTCGCAACCCATTTCCATGCCATTAGGCTTCTCTTTGAGCGATGGGGTCGCGCGGTTGGTCTTGAGAAAGGGCAGGTCTCGGTTCACTACCACCCCGGCCTGGATGACCAGTCTGTCTGTCTTGTGGTCGCTGAAATCATTTCCATGATCCGGAACATAGTTAGCGATGCAGGGAACCCGGAAGATGCAGCAGCCACGAAGCCGTTCGGCTTGACTCGACGCCCAGCTATCCCATCCCCTCCCCTACCTCCAAAACGACAAAAGCTTGCGTGGGCGCTGAGAGGAAAGGAGAGGCGGAACGCTGAAGTGGAAACGCTGGATGGTTTAGTTCGGAAGCTGTACGAGCTCATCCCTACCGGAGACTCGAACAAGGCAACCGAAATCACTGCAACGAACAGTGACGCCTTTCGGAAGCTACAAGGTTTGAAACACCTTTAGATACGTCAAGACATATGCGTCAACTAATACCTACTATGTGACAGCCGGCACAGAATCGTGGGCCAAGGACATCCAAAACACGCTAAGGAAGATTGAGCAAGACATTGAGGCCGAGACGCGAAGAGAATTGCATATGTGGATAGCAGGCGACCTTCCGAGCGACGTCTATGAAGATCTTAAAGAGACTCGAGCATCAGGCACCTGCAACTGGATCCTAGACCGAAAAGAGTTTCGTGACTGGCTCAAGTCAAATGGGAACTCCTCCGTGTCTTCGGTGCTGTGGGTTAATGCCATAGCAGGCTGTGGGAAGACAGTATTATGCGCAAGGGTAGTTGAGTACCTCTCACAGACTCTGAAAACGCCCATTGCTCATTTCTTTCTATCCTCTCAAAACGCCAGTCGGGATGACCCCTATCTAGCAATCCGATCATGGATCCTTCAGGTTATAGGTCAGAACGCCCATGCATTCAACCTTGCTCGAATAAAGCGGCTGTCCCAACACGAACAGAATGCGAGCCGCATGACTGTAATCTCTCTCTTCCAAGAAATAGCACAAGCAATACCTGGTTGTACCTTCGTTTTGGACGGCCTTGATGAATGTACTTGGGTCGGTCTTCATCACCAAAACCATGCCTCGATCAGAGCCTTCCTGCAAGTAGTTGGAGAAACTATAGAGAGATCTACTAGTCGTTTCATGCTGTTTAGCCGCAACGATGAGAGTATCCGAAACAGCTTACACAATAGTCCTACTCACGGTTTCAATGAAATACAGGTGGTAGCTCGCGATGTATACCACGATATCGTCTCCTATTCAAGAACTATCGTCAACGAAAGATTATCGAACAAGCCCCAAGATCTCAGAGATGATATTTCACAGCAACTAGCGGACCAATGCGATGGACAATTCCTTTGGGTACGCTTGCAAGCAACGAAGTTACAAAAGATATCGAATAAATTTCAACTTCAAAGAGACATTGGCAATACTCCGGCTGGGCTTGGACAACTATATGAGCGAGAATGGGAATCTATCAGTACAAATCCTGATATAGACACAGAACGGGCACTCTCTCTACTTAAGTGGGCTGCATTTTCTATCCGACCTCTATCAGTCGCTGAGATCGCTGTAGCCGTGCTTATCAAAACCGGATGCCCTGGTGTGCCAGTCGAAGAGCTCCCGGATTTTGATGACGGGCTATATCTTATAGAGAATATCAAAGCCCACAGTGGCTCACTTCTTGAGATCGCAACCGACAACAAGAGTACGAAGGGGACAGAGAATACAGAAGATATACGCTCAATGATGGTGCAAATAACTCACTTCTCTGTCAAGGAATTCATTCTCGCAAGCCTTCTGATTTCCGACGTCTCACTCAACCGTAACTCGGCCATTTCCACATCATACGAGCAACGTCAACATAGCGCTCTTGCCGAAGCTTGCCTTCAGTATATCTTTCATCCCCAATTATGGACAATGTATACTTTGCCAAAAGAAGCGCATGGATTTGAAACGGCTTTCCTCGATTATGCCGCAGAAAGCTGGTACAAACACGTATACCTCGGGTCAGAGAGTTTTGGAATTGTCAACCTGATCAGCGATTTTTTCAGCGATACAACTGGATCCTTTGATGAATGGAGACGATGGATCAATACACAAGCGTATAATCGGGGTGTAGTATCGCAAATCCCTGATGAAGAAGACCAGGCAAACCGATTGCCTTATGCTATATCCATGCGACTGAGAAATGCCACAGAAGATCTTCTAATCGCAGAGAACTGTGAGATCAACGGAAGAGGATACCACGGAGAAACGGCTCTCACAGCAAGCTGCCGTACCGGTCAAGTTGATGTTGTTAACCGTCTCCTCTCTTCTGGCGCAGGCATGTCCCTACCAAGCCTGGAGGGCTATACGCCCCTCTGTATTGCGGTAGATCAAGGATACATAGCTGTGGCTAGGGTTCTCTTAGAGGCGGGCGCTGATGTCAACGTTAGAGATATCGAGGAAATCGGGCGAACCCCACTGATCTGGGCCTCGTCTCATGGCCACCTAGAGCTGGCCAAGTTGCTAGTTGACAACGGGGCTGATATCTCTTTACCAGACAAGTTGGGCAATACACCCCTACTGGCAGCCGTTCAAGAAGGTCACCTCCAAGTCGCCCAGCTGCTGGCCGATTCGGGGGCCGACGTCACCGCGTCTGGTAATGGCGGACACTCACCCTTGTTCTTCGCTGGCATGAACGGCAATGTGCCCATCACAAAACTACTTATTGATAAGGGGGCTAGCATATCAGCCGCGATAGATGAGAAAGGCCCCGCGCTTCATGCCGCCGCCTCTGGGGGTCATCTGGAAGTGGCCAAACTCTTACTGAAAAAAGGAGCACAAGTTGACTGCCTTGATGAGGCCCAAAAGACACCAATATACAATGCTGTTAATGGTGGTCACTTTGGAATGACGGAGCTTCTCATTAAGGAAGGGGCAGACTTGACACTTCGACCAAGGAGTGGTGAAAGTCTCCTTCACGCGGCGGCACAAAACGGTCACTTAGAAATTGCCCACCTGCTGATCAGGGCGAAAAGGGGTCTTATCTTCACCCGGGATGGCGTCGGAGATAGTCCACTGATCTCAGCTCTGTATGCCGGACATCTGGAGTTGGCTCGGCTTTTGCTCGAGAAGGAACCAACTCTGATTGCTGTAGCAGACGGTCAAGGTTGGACGCCACTGCACACAGCCGCATCATTTGGCCATCTGGAACTTTGTGAGCTCCTTTTAGGTAAGGAAGCTAATCCATCATGTCAAACCGAAGAAGGAAATACTCCACTTCACATCACTGCAAGTGAAGGCTGCCTGGAAGTTTGCTTGCTCCTTCTAGGGAAGGGAGCGAGTCCATCATGTCAAAACAAAGGTGGAAATACTCCGCTTCATATCGCTGTACGTGAAGGCCACTTAGAGGTAGCTGATTCTCTTCTCAAGAGAGGGGCAGATCTTAATATTGTGGAGAGTTATGGATGGGCTCCCATTAATATTGCTGCAGGAAAAGGCCATTTAGAGGTAGCTGAGCTACTTCTTGGGAAAGGGGCAGATATTGCTATTCCAGAGAAGATATCTGGAAGGACCCCGCTCCTTCTCGCTGCAAGCCAAGGCCACTTAGAGATGGTCAAGCTACTTGTCAAGAAAGGGGCAGACCTTAATATTTCAGATAATGATGGAAGGACTCCACTCCTTTTCGCTGCAGGTCGAGGCCACTTGGAAATGGCCAGGCTACTTCTTGAGAAGGGGGCAAGTATAAATACAGGAGACAAGACATGGACTACACCTTTGCACGCAGCATGTCACGGCGGCAATGTCGAGGTAGTGAGCTTTCTACTTGGGCAGCCTGGTGTTCATCCAGACACGCTTAACCTCTTCGGCCGCCCGCCATTGTCCGATGCAGCTCGTCGTGGTCAGATTGATGTTGTCAAGGCATTAATCTGCAGCAACGCCAGGGTAGACATATCGGATGGGCTTGGCTTGCCACCTCTATTTTACGCTTTGCGTAACGGTCACAGCGAGGTTGTAGAGCTCTTGTTACCGAAAACTCCGGGGTGGAAGAATTGGAAGGACGGCCTCGGGCGAGATTATATTTGGTGGGCACATCATATCAGGTCTCCACGGATCACCCAGCTCCTGATGGACTATGGCGCTGATATCAAAAACCGACACAGTGAGGATGGCGCGACAGACGTCTCGAGTGACCCGCCTCCCTTGAACAAACCAAGAGGTTTTTGTGACTGCTGCATCGGCCCGGTGTTGCAGGGTACACCACTCTACTCTTGTAGCATATGCTGGGCTGGTCAATTCTGCATTTGCGTTGAATGTTTTGAAGGAGGGCTAAGATGTTTTGACAGTTCTCATGACTTGGCATTAAAGTAAGAAAAACATACTTGAGGTTTGACATGAGAAACTTGTACGATCTTTTTCGACGCGGGCTAGTTAGTATACGAGTTATTCGGAAGCTGCTTGGGTTTCAGCCTTTTCTCCTATTGGGTTATGTAGTCGTAACTATTGTGAAGGCAATGGACCTCACTACATTAACTATGAGAACAAAAGAGGGGGTGGCTTTTACAAAGACCTCTTTGTTTAGGTTGTGGAAACCCTTCAATTTGCTCAAAGATGACCTGTGCTACCGTCTAGTTGGCTCTCAGGCGCTTGAGTCTGTTTCCCAAATGTTCCAAACGTTAAACAGAGATGTAAGAGTAGCACATGAGCCGGCACTTGGGCTAGGGTGAAATTGGCAGTACAAAGTTTGATTGTCTAAGATGGTTCGAATGGAGTGAGGATGGACCCTTGCATCCTTCACCCACCAACGACTGATCCTCCTGCTGTGAAACCTCGGTCTAAAGTGTGCTCCTGTGGAAAGCTCGAGAAAGCGAAGCTCATCTCGGCGCTTTGGGTACTTCAACGAAGATTTGATATGGGAGTGGTTGAGCCGGACACCTTATCTAAAGAGAGGAGCACGTGTTAGATCCAACTCCCAAAGTAACGATCGGATGATAACCTACAAGCCATAAACTTATACACGACACCTTCATATTCTTCATGACCTCCTATTCCGCCTGAAGCAAGTCTTCTCAATACACTCCAGAGAGTCTCACCCCTGAGATTGATCCACTTTCGCCGGCCGGGGACCTGGTACTGGCCCCAGAGCGAAACAGATCCGTACTCGACGAGTTTGGACGGGGTTCCATCAACACATGTCTGACCAGCGTCTGGGAACTCGCTCGGAATGCCCCTCTCGACAAGTTCCTGGCACGCTTCAATGGAGTTTTCGGTCGCGTTGGGCATATTGGAGGATGTTAGTTTGCAATCGAGGCTAGGGAATGGGTAGCTTGGATTGGTTGAACTGTTGGAGTATTCATTCGTGTGCGTTGCTTCAGACGCTCGAAGATGTGAGGGAGGTGGCTGGTATATATAGGTGGCACCAACATGCAGAGATCCGCCATACTCTGCATCGCCCCGGGACTATGAAGATGGAGAATATGCTGAGTTTGGACAAAAGTAACCCAGTAAGCAATACCTAAATATCAAGACCTTCCATTGGGGGAAGGATATACAACACATCACGACCAACCATATCGTAGCAACACCACAGCTCTGTTTGTAGAGACGGGCTATCTATTCATCAATGAGTTATGCGCATCCCTGGACTATGTCCTCAGCAGGACCACATTGGCGGCGATAATGTTAAATCTAAGCATTGAATTATGAAGTAGTTCACCTTAAATAGGGCTATGCCTTTAATCCAAGGATACGTTGCGACAAAGCAAAAGGGTAAACATGACGGTCGCTACCAGTTTTTACCAGATTGACTGTATTAGCTTCAGTATTCAACAACGACGCAGTTTTGAGAGCGACACCCTAGAAGTTCCTACTTGGCGTAGGAGTTGGATGAAAAATGCGTGAATTCATTGCTCTTCCTTTGATCTTCCATTACTTCTTCTGCTTCTTGAACGCAGCAGCTATAGTATTCTTAGGTTTAGCACGCTTCTCACCTGCATGAGACTCCCGACCCCTTTTCTTTCCACCATCTTCATCGTCGGTGTCGTGCTCGCCGCGAACCTCGGATGTGTCTGAGTCTGGAAAGAGTTCTTTCCAGCTCCCATCCAGCACCTGCTTGTCCGCTCCATGGAGGCCAACATCGTAGGCCTTCTTCATAGCATCGAGGCATATCTGCCGCCGTTCATTAAAGTCGAACATGGGCTTTGGGTACGTCCGGTCCTCTTTATCACTCAGCCCATCGCCCTTGATACGAACGCCGGCCTTTTTCAAGTCCGGGAGGGGGGCCTTCCACGGCTCGTAGATGTACTTGGCGTCCAGGTCCTTCAGCTCGGGGACGTACTTGCGTATCAGGGCCCCCTCCTTGTCCCACTTCCTGCCAAAGGCGACGGGGCTGTAGCAGCGGAAGAACTGCGCGAAGAAGGCGGTGCAGGACAGCCACTGCCAGTTGCCGGCGTTGCAGGCCGGCTCGTGGTCGAGGAGCCACTCCTCGAAAACCTCGGCCCCGCGCTCCCAGTCTACGTAGCAGCCGCCGCGGGTGAGGAAGCAGGCGACGCTGTGCCGGCCGAGGTGGTGTATCCAGCCATCCTGCTTGAGCTGCCGCATAAGAGCGTCGATCCAGGGAAATCCCGTGACGCCGTGCTTCCAGCGCTGGAACCAGGCTTCCGCCGTGTCGCTGTCCACGTGGTACTCTCCAGTGACGATGCCGGTGGACGGGTCGGTTTTGGAAGGTAGATGCCATGGAATGAATCTGCAGGATGGGTTATTGGCTGTCTGGTGGAAGACTGCGCCTCGGGCGGCCTGAGCAGCAAAGTACATGTCCCGGAAGAGGAGCTGGCCCGTCAAGCTCGTTGGGGGCGAGGAGGCGCCTTTTCCATAGGCATCGACCACATCCTGGACTCTCCAGTAGAATTCGCGAACAGAGAGAGCCCCGAAATGGAGAAAAGGGGAAAGGAACGACGTTGCGGGAGGGTCGAACTGGGCCGGGCTGGTATTGGGCTTCTCAAAGGTCGCAGTGTATTTGGTGTCCTGGATGATCTTGTCGAGTCGCTCGAGAGCAATGGACTCCCCACCACGGTGAGGCGTTGTTGCGGAAGGAAATCCCAGCTCCTCCATCGTCTCGATAGCGAAATCCCCCGAGGGGCCGGCGATGCTCTTGTAGCCGGTGTCCTTCTCCGTCCGGCGGGAGGCATTCAAGTCCGGGGCCGGATCGGGCTGGTCTTGTTCAAAGTCAACTGGCATTTCTCCAGGGTCCGGTAGACGCTGGGGAGATGGAATTAGTCTGGGAATCTTTCCCACTTTGCCCCCTGCCGCCCGCAGTGCAGCCATCGACATTGTGGGCTCGCCTCCATTCTTCTTGACAACCTCGTCACTGTCCCACAAGGTTCTCCCCGATTTGACAATGACGACGACACCGGCCTTTTTGGCTGCCTCCATGACCACTTGATCTCTCTCGCGGCCATAGGAATCTGTGTCTTTTTCGAAGACAAGATGGGTGACCTCCCAGGCCTTGAAGAGCTTTGGGAACAAGGACTGGGGTGCTTCCCTCAGAACGAAGAGTTTCAACTTCGGGTTCAGTTTGCTCATGGACTTGGACAGATCATTTTGACAGTCCAGTCTTTGATATGCACATATAGGTTAATTTAACAGCCGTTCTCAGGGATGATGTATGCATATGCCGAGCCGCGCAACTCACAAAAACTGCCATCTGTTGAGGCCTCCTCTTGCGCGGTACACATAGTGCGGGTCCCAGGTGAATATAGGCCAAAATGCGGCGGGATTCAGATCCAAGGCAGCTTTGAGGGCTGGCGAATCATGAAGTCGCAAGTCGGTGCGGAACCAGTAGATGACTCGAGTCTTGGCCATTGGATCGGAGTGAGGCTTCCCCAATGCAGGCTTTCCTTCAGGTGCACTGCATATGTCATGTGGATGTATGTATTTATTTCACAGCATGGAAAGAATTGAGACTTTTCAGATTGCGGGGAGGGAGAATGTACAGAGAACTAATGAAGAGGCTGGAAACGAGTCCATGATGTCAGCAACTTTGGATAGAGCAAAAGCCATGTATAAGTGAGTGACACATCATTACGCCACGTCCAGCCTCTGATATGCACGTGGCAGATTTGGGTTCTTTCTTCGACCGGCAAGAATAACTCACAATAAGCAAACAACACACTAATTATCCTTGCATATTGGCTGTCTATTTGTGCCAGATGTTTTCTACTTGTGCAAGCTAGTACGTAGCTTTAGAGCGTAATTAGCCAATCGCTCCCTCGTTATAGTACCAAGTCAGGCAACTACCGTACAGATAACCTTAAAACTTCCCTGAACTCCTCCATTACATTCTCACGGCCTTCCAAGTTCTAGTCACCCATGGCCAACGTTAACAACGGCCATGGAAAAGGAAAACACTCATGAGTATCAACCACCAAAAAATGAAATTAAAAAAAGACAAAGTCAAAAAAAATATACAACAGCCACATACAGGCCGTGACAGTGGTGAAAAGGTGGGGGCAGTCGGCGCTTGGCAAGAATACAAAGAAAGCCGCAGCAGCGCAAGGAAAAAGCAAAAGGAAAACCCCCTCTTTACTCATTTTCCCATTTTCGCCCAATATCAGAATCTTGCCTCCCCGCCTCGCCTTTCCTTTTCTTTCTTTTACATCATCATCATCGGGCACGAAATGGCGTCCGCTCCTCGTTTTCGACCTTGGCTTCCACAGCCGCCAGAGGCACACAAAGGGCAAGATGGAATGGAATCTGCTAGCAACGGGACAGCCAAGACCGACCAGATTGGCCCGGTCCTCCTTTCTTTCGATCAGATGCCCGAGTGGTTCCAACGCGAGTCCAATCGGTGGGTTCTCCACGGCTACAGACCCATCTCAGGCTCCGTTCGTACTTCATTCTGCAGCTGGTCATATATGCACAACGAGTCTATTAACATCTATTCTCACCTCATTCCTGCCGTTTTCTTCTTCTTCGGCGAGTGGTATATCCAGCAGTACCTACACAGCAGATATCCCAGGGTAGCCAGCGCCGATTTTGTTGCTTTCTCCATTTATATGTTGACAGCTGTTACGTGCCTATCATTGTCCGCGACCTAACACACCTTACTGAACCACTCGCAGCGCGTAGAACATCTATGCTTGCGACTGGATATGCTCGGCGTAGTCATATTTATACTAGGTGACCTTATCTTGGGAACGTATATAGTGTTCTGGTGTGAAACTTGGACACGTAATTTCTACTGGTCCATGGTTAGTAAATCTTGATAAACTTTTCCCCCTCAGCTTGGATCTAATTTTCTTTTCCTACTACTAGATTGGGGTCTTTGGATCATTGACAATCTTTACGACGATGCATCCCAAGTTTCAGGGCTCAAAGTATCGCCTCTTTCGAGCGTTGATGTTTGTAGCAACCGGCCTATGCGGTGTTGCACCCTTATTCCATGGGATCAGCACATTTGGCATCTCGATAATGAAACAAAAAGCCTTATCTTATACTCTAGCAAAAGCAGGATGTCTTCTCTCTGGGGTTTCATTCTATGCTGTGAGTCCCTTGATCTTAAGGACAAGAGAAACTGACATTGACACATTTATTTCAAAGACCAGGTTTCCCGAAAGTCGATATCCTGGCAAATTCGACATGTGGGGTTCTCACTCGATCTTCCACGTGCTGGTGGTTTGTGCTGCGGTGGTTCAGTTGATGGGGTATCTAGATGCTTTTGAATATGCTTGTTCAAATCTTCATTGCTCGCCCCCTTGAGCAATTGATTCTTGGAATAACTCTGGCCGGGACTAAAGCCTGATGTAAAGCTCAAGGTAAAACTCATCAAGGGATCATCACTGCTCTCCATGCTTAGTACAGCGTAGTTGAAGCCGTGGCAGGTACAAAGGTACCTCTTACGCAGAAGGAGGGGCACAGTCAGTCCAGCCAACTGTCCCCTTTGCACATGTCAAACTTGCCCGGCCATTTAATTATTCATTTATTTATCTCTACCTCTCAGGTTTACTTGAAAACATCTTGCCATCTCAATCCCGTCATTCATCCGCAACACCGTCATGATGCGGCTTCCCAGCCTCCCCAACGAAATTATCGATCACGTATTAGGCTTCGTCCCACGATCTGATCTTGCAAAACTCTGCCAGGTTAATAACTCCCTACGCCACTCTACCGAGCCCTTTCTTTATTCTACGATTTTTCTGTACTGGTATCACGATGAAATACCTCCAATTATCCCGCTCCTCCGCACCCTCCTCGAGAGATCAGAGCTATTCGTCTACATAGACTCGGTAACTCTGTGTGGAATCGACTTTGGAGCTGGGGTAACACGTCCTCTTCTGGATACGACTACAATGCCCCTAGATCAATTCCAAGCTGCGATCAAGCAGACCCAGGTCCCTTATACCAGCTTGTGGATTGATCAGTTAAGGTCAGGCAGTATAGATGCACTTGCTGGCCTTTTAATCGCCAATCTCTCCAAGACTGTGTTCCTCGCCATCACCCATAACTTCATTCATGAGTGTGAAGTTGTCCCTCGAGTTCTACAGTCTAAAATCCTTGGTCAATTACCTGAGTTTACCACTTTTGGCAGGCTGCCTAAGTTTGAGCGGCTGAGCCACTTAGTTTATTGTAAGCGGAGAGACGACCCCTTTGAAGAATATGACGATGATGAGTATTTCATCGAGGCTATATCTCTGCTTTGCCTTCCAACCGTCACAGACTTAGTGATACGTCTGCCAAATCCAGAAGTATTCTACTGGCCATTTGGTGAGCCTGACCTTGACCATCTGACTTCGCTTGAGGTCGACTGGGTCTACCCACGTTGTTTAGCTAAAATTCTCACCTGCACACGGAACTTGAGGACACTCTCCTGGATTTGGCAGTATCGAGAGGACGCTACTATAGGATCTGATTCCATTCTGGACTATGATCGGATCATTACAGCTTTATTACCACTGAAAGGCACGCTAGAGACCCTGCGTTTTCAACTAGATGAGGAGGTGCTACAGGCTGCCGGCCCAGGAATAGCTACCGTGGGATCGTGGAACGGCCTTCGCGATTTCCAACGACTAACCCATCTCGAGGTGCCATTGATGTCTCTGACTGGCGTGGGGCCTGACCCTCAGCCTATGGAGCGTTATATCCCGGACAGGCTTGAGACGCTCTGCCTGGTACCTACGATGCTAACCCAGAAAGACGCGGTTTTGTGGATGTGTCATCCAGAAGCAGTCTCAAATCAAGAGTTTAAGAACATGAGCAGGGATGAGTCGCGTCCAGAGCATTGTATCCTTGCAGTGATCCATGCGTTTACTAGACAGTGCACATTAAGTTTGCCACGACTGCACTGCATAGGTTTTGCTGGTGATTATTACCTCTGGAATATTGAACTAGATTTTCTTATGGATCAACTGGGTGTTAAGCATGGTAGCATTGAGTTTCAGGTTATTGATGAGCCGTACTGGGAAGCACACCATCTTCCAGGCTACCTAGACTGCATAGAGAGCAACCTTGTCGGTCATGCTCTTCCCTTCGGGGAGGGCAAAGGAGGTCGTGTAGATGAGATGCGTGACGCCGCCATCAAGGCCCATGGCGGCTCTTGCGGCAGCGCTTAGGCCGTGCAGGGAATTCGTGCCGACCTGGCCTCCGTAGCTATACATCAGCACAGCTACATCTCGGCCAGCCTCTACGATAATATTGTAGTATCCGCCCAGCCAACAAAAGATCTTGCTCGGCAGCTTGGTGGTGTATTAGCTTGATGAGTCACGATCAAGTTCTTGATCACTGCACCAGTAGCAGACCAAAGCAAGATGTGAGATCATAAACAGCAACTAATCGAGATACTTGCCCTTTTGGCTTTTATCAAGGATGCTCTCGAACTTTTAGATATTCTTGATTCTCTGCCACCAGCCTACGCAGGCTGGATGGCCTACCAGCTTCAGCTGATGTTGGAAGAGAATCAGCATTTAACCTTGATGATTTGAACGCGTTTTTAGTGATGCAGAATTCCGCGAGGCGGAAATCCAACAGATCACAGAGTTCGATACTGAAGGATTGTTACTCATGACGCTTGGCCGTAACTTGGCCAAGATTTTATCAGGAAGTGCGGACCGCTGGCCATCATTTTTGATAGTCATCTTCCAGACCGGTATTACTCAGAAATGTTTGCAAGTGATCACCACGCCTATCCAGTCTGTGAGTTTGTGGGCTTGCTGTCATTCAAGAACCCACCCGTCTATGAAGATCCTCGAGGTTAGTGCCGGAACTGGTAGGATTACTACTCGTCTTCTCGAAGCAATGAGCCAGTATGAAACTTAAAGCGGTCTCAGTACGAGTTCACAGACAAATTTTCAGGGTTCTTTCCAGTATCGAAAGATGAATTTGAGAAATATGCGCACGTGATGAAGTTTGAAGTCTTGGATATCTCAAATGACCCGCAGACTCAAGGCTTCGAGCCCAGTAGCTACCATCTCATATTAGTTCAACTATGTACTTGAGTGGATCAAGATCCATCAATGTTTAAGCATATTGTGATCTATCTTCCCATTTCGGCTGCAAATAACTCCAGTCCCTGTTAAACTTGAAATCTGTGTGGTATTTGCCGTACGAGAACAGCTCAACCTTATCCAAGGCAGCCCCATCCTCCGTCTGTGCCCACAGGCTGAGCGCCAGAGTGTTCTTCCCACGGTTGTTGATGATACCAGGAGGGATTGGGAAGCGATGCTGCGGGCCAATATGTGGCACAAACTTGCCATACTGATACCCGTTGACCCAGATCATGACCCTGGCCACGGTCCCCTCTGGCGCACCGAGCTCCACGCCAAGCGGTACATCCAGGTCCGAGTCGATATTAAGATGGAACGACGTGATATAGAACCTCACACCAGGTGCCTTGATGCCGTCTAGAGGAGACGTAGACCGAGTCCAGCCCTTGGTTTCGAATTCAGGGAGGTGCCAGCCCAGTCGCTCAGGGTAGAGCCCGCCCTCGTTCATGGGTCCGCGAACAGGGTCGATGTTAGCTGAACCTCCCGCATTGCCCTGTATCTTCCATGTCTTGAACCCAGTATCCTCCCGAGTGCCCCCGGGCAGAACTAGTGCATCCAATATACCTCTCGGGTTGTTGATACCCTTGCCAGTCGAATCCTGGTCATGTCCATGGTAGTCTACAAACACTGTCAGGACATTACCGCCATCCAACAGGGCATCCTCTGGAAGACTGAGTGTTGCATTAGTAGTGCCCAAAAGACGGGTGCCGTCATCCCCGCCGATGAATTTCCCATTCAGCCAGGCGTTCCACCCGAACGCCAATCCTCCTGAGCAGGTGAGCTTCACTGCCGATGCGTTCTTCCCTTCGAAATATCCCCTGTAGATCTTAGCCCCGGCGTAGTATCCATAATCAGAGCTGTAGAGTACGGGCAGGGTGTCCGGCTGATAGAAAGGATTCAGAGTCTCGTTGTGGTCACACACCGTCCAGCTAGAGTCATCAAAATCCGGCCTGATCTCGGGGGCCCCGTCTTCCGAGTTCCAGTCTTTCAGCGGAGGTAGAGAAATCGTTCGATCGTCAGCACCGGGAATGTCCACCGTAACTGCACCATACGCCGTCTTCTCTGCCGCGATGCGAAGGCCGTTCCAAACGACGGTTTCGATCTCCTGGCCGACATAGGCTTCCAGTTTCGTTGCCACATCATTATCACCAGAGACATGGAGGACTTTGTTCGCTATGCGGGCTGACCGAACCAAGTAGGGGCCGAGGACAAACAAGTGCTCATCCGGTTTTACGAGGGGCGTGCTGACTATGGGAGGGGCCCAGAAGTTCCAGGCAGTCTCTCGCTCCAACAAGTAGACAATGACCCCGTTCGAGAACCTGACTACTGTCTGGCCGGGTGCCTGCTTCCAAGAGTACACGTGGCGTCCATCGCGGGCGTTTGCCGTGAATCCAGAGTCTCCGAATACCTCGAATGTGAGGTCTTGCTCCTGGTCGCTGAAGGCAAATTCTCCCGCCTGCCCGCCTTGGAGATAGAAAACCAGAACCTCAGTATCAAAGATTCCATACGTTAAAATATCCGCTGTGGCGTAGAGGAGTTTCTTGGTACCAAATGGGTAGTCCGTGACGAGAATTTTGCTCTGTCGCCCGTCAAGAGATACATCTGGAACCTCGATGGTGCCCTCAGATGTATCAAATGAAACAGAAAACTCCACCGACCCCCTCGACTGGGTGTTGTTATGTTGTATAACGGTGAATGTCGAATTTGAATCAATATTCTTTAGCCTCCATGCAAAAATTTCGGATGATGAAGTCTAGAGAGTGAGAGGTCAGTTAATGAAGATCCATTTCACATAGAGCAGGGTGACGGCCATACGCTGTATCCGGTTCCATTCCCAACCATTTCTGTCCTGACCAAATCTCCTGATACGCGAGTAAAGAGACCCAAAAGTTTGGTTTGCTTCAATTTGCTCCATATCTGTCGTGTCTCTCTCAGCGGCGCACTACATCGAATAAGGAGTCAGTACATTCCCAGTATCTGGAAATCAGAAAAACACTTCCACAGACCTGTAATCATAACTTGAATACACAACTGGAGCGGCGGCTGGTTTCAGTTAGAAGGAGGACTCCTCCGGAAATTTCCAAGTCAAATCACGCGTAAAACATACAGTGACCCCAGTTAGTGCCTCCGTAAGCCATGTATATCCCGAGAAGAGTAATTCTCTGCCCAATGTTGTTCTTGTAGAAGACGTCTGCAAATTCTGGGCTATGCTCGGTGAAG